TCAGAACTGGCGGTCAGTTTCAGCAGCGGCTGAATCTGGACGCCAGTTCCGACTTACATACAGATTCAACTTAAGAACAAACCTACAGTCCCTATCTTGTATGTAACCTGGGGACTGCCTGTATCCTTTAAGAGTCAAAGTTTAAGAATGAACAGTGTTTCCTAGTTCCATCTTGCAAAAACAATTTTAAAAGAAATTGTGTGAAATTTTAAATCTAAACTCTTTCATGATGGCAATTTCCATTGGGCAGAAACAGACCGCAGTTGCAGCTCTGGGCTCTTTCAGGCAGTACCCAGGCTAGGGCTAGGCACCAGAATGAGAAGGAGGGAAGAGGTCTCTTTTTCTCTCAATTACACCTATGATAGCAACCAAGCTGTACTAGAAGGAAGATGCCCGATTTAAATAAAACACAACCCCAGGGGAGTAACTTGAGGTAAGGAAGAGATGAAGACAATGATTGTAGAAATCTGGATGACAAGTGGGAGGAGAGGAAAGAGAGGAACTGGAATTGGAATATGGCATGGGAGCCAGTGGAAAAAGAAGGCAGGGAAAGATACACACAACGCAGCAAGGGATGGAAAGAAACTGGACAAAAAGAGCAAGGTGACAGATTAAACTAGGGATGTGAATGGGCCCCATATGGGCCTGCCACATCATATTGTGAGCAGGGGGGCTGCACCAGCTTGGCTGGGCTGGAGCAACCTCCTGACTACCCCATAATGTTTAACCGCTTAACTGATTAAACAGGATTGTATATCCCTAGATTAAACAATTAGATGGGAGTAAAAAGACATGAAAGAGTAGGAAAGGCTAGGCAAGGACCCTCAGTGCAAGAAAGGGGGGGACAGAGGCAACAGGCTGTTATGGGAACAGGGCAGAAGGTCAAATCTGTGGAGAAACAAGAAGAGTTTTGCCCACTAGAGAACTCTCCCCTCTCCAGATCCTAGGATGGAATCCATGATTCTCAAGTATCACAACTTCTGTACTGTCAGCAAATACCTGTGAAATCTACTGGCAAAGTATCACTTTCCCCCTCTACAGTTGGTCCACAGAGGATTAGAAACTGATAGTAGAGGTTTTCCATCAGCTCAAAATGACAGAAGTCTGTATGTTGGATCTAAAAGTCCCAACCCTGATGAACAACCATGTGGGTGTCATTTTAATACTTTATGAAAAAAATTATCTTTTCAGTTTGCAAGCTAATTAATCTCTCTAATGGAGGATTTTTTTAAGTGTAATTTTCAGGGTTCTTAAAGAGGAAAGTCAAGAACTCAAAAAGTTAGGAAACGCCAGACTTAGTAAGGTCGTCCATGCAACCTTAAATTTAGCCCCTTTGTGAGCATACAGTCTTTAATTACATGACCACTTCATCTATTGCAGAATTTAGAAGGTGCTAAAGTCAATAAGTTAGAGGACTGCAAGAAAAGAAAGTATTTTATCATGGTTAATACAGACAGAAGCTGCCTGGAGAATAAGATTCTCTACTAGGCTCTGCCACGTGGAGTTCTTATGTAATGCTAAGCAAGTCACTGAAATCAAAATTTTCATAGGTGGGTCACAACTTTATGTCCTTCATTTTCTGGACCCAATTTGAGATATCTGGGATCTGATTTGCACAAGTGCAAAACATTCACAGCTATAGCTAAAGTCAATGGGATCTGGACTTTGAGCATATAAAGTGCTATTACAATGTTAAGTATCCCACAAAATCAAGACCTGAGTGTTTAAAATTGCGTAGTTAGAATGATATATACTTTTAACCTTAATATCTCTGTGCCTCAGATCCCCATCTGTAAATTGGGACTAAACACCAACCTCATTAACATTTGTTAAACACTCAGATTTTATAGTGATAAGCCCCATAGAAAAAACCATGAACACACTAATAATTCTGTTTTCAGAGCAGGATTTCAAAACTGTGCAAGGCCAGCATTAGGCCACACATGGAACATACTGAAGACAAGATAATGAAGAATTCCTCGTTTAGTGAGCATAGTTCATTCCATGCACTGAAGGAGATAGGGAACTTTTAGGGAAAAGTGAATATCATAATGCACATGCACAAATTAAGGTTGCATAAGCAACTCTAATTCTGAACTTTCCTAACTTTTCAGTTGCAACTTGATGCTATTTTAACATATTTTTCACATAGTTTCAAACTAAGTTACCTAAACTTTAGTCGCTATATAAAGAATCAGCAGATATAAGTCAATAAATTCACTACAATTCACACTGCAAAAGCTACAGTAAACTACATACTACAGCTCCTGGTGAGAATACTGTAGGGAATGTAAGCACTGAAAACAAGAACTTTATTTGGTAATAAAACTGACACATGATATACAAGTTTTATTTTGGGGTTTTTTTTTTTTAATTTAAAACTTGCAACTTCAATTGTGCTGCAATTCATCCCTTTTGTTACACATCATTAAATACAAATCCATGATCTCATCACTATATTGCAGTCAATGCTACTTGAAACGTATTCTTGACTCTAACATGAGAAATATGCCAGCTTACCAATGTGAACAGTCATGTAAACTGTCATGAAGAGCTTTCCGTAGCACCGAATCCTTGTCATAAATGCCCCAGGTAGCTTGTAGTACTGAATCAAGCAGGCAGTCCCCTGCTGTCCGATTCCAAAGTGCATATAGTCTACTATCCAAACGCGTACCCAATTCCAAAGACCAGTTTATAATGGGAGATTCTTCTTCTAGTTCTACAGTACAAGAAAAGCCTTATGTTAATCTTATTTGCAATTAAGACTCTTTTCTACGTGAATATCGCTGTTAAAAGGTACAGTGGTTATCAGAAGATACCATACAAATCAACAATTTGCCACATTCACCTTAAAATTACAAGAAGAGTTGCACTAAACAGGGTAGAACTTCCCTGGCTTAATACTGTAGATAAAAAAAGCGTCTGCTCAAAAAAAAAGCATTCAACTTAAAAACAATAATTTGTTTCATGAGAGCCACTGAAGTAGAAGAATGTTCACCAATTTTACGTAAATGTGGGAGTACACTGAAGAACTCATGACTTGGAGCCTTTAGTAGTTTTTCCAACTAACAAATTCATAAGTTTCACACATTTTTACCAGACCACAGCTTCGCTTTTTCTTTTTCTGTATTCCCAATGTTAAAGTCAAATCCCTGTAATCTTTAAAGGTAGAAATTCACCTACAAATGCCAACCTACAAATATCCAGCACAAAATTTTTCTTTAAATATAGAATTCATTTATTACTTAAAACTAAAGTATCTCCTGAATTAGGGATGTAATAATATAGTCATTTAACCAATTAGCAAAAGCTTATGGGTTAATGCTATAGACTACACGCATTTCCCTCTCCCTGCCAGTACATTTTTCAGCAGCCTGGCTCACAACAGATCTGAGACCTACTCCTGCTGCGGAGCTGGGTGTGTAAGCAGCCTGGCTTAGTCCTAGCTCATGCTGGGTGTGGGACCTACTGCCGTTTCAGCTCTGCATTTCAAGTCTATTAAAAGCCAGGCAGGCAGGCAGCCCAGCTCAGTTCCAGCTTACACTGGGTCCAAGAGCACGGATCCCCCCCTACTCAGGGACTATTACCACTCTGCACTGCTGCCTCTCTCAGAAGCAGCAGCACAGGATGACAGGCAGCCAGTCTGCAAGGGGAGCTGGTTTTTAAACTGGCTCCCCTCGCAGACCAGCACCCACTGGCACCCTGTGCTGCTGCCTCTGACAGTGGCTGCCAGCCCTGCCCCCAGGGACTATAGAACAGTCGACTACCCGATAAAATTTCATGAGGTTACTTGACTATTCAATTAACCAATATTTAACATCCCTATCCTGAATAGGGGATAAGATTTGAGGGTTTATTTGTAGTAACTCTAAATACAAGAGCTTACCTTTCTGAACATCCCTATCAAGTACTTCATCAAATAACTTCTCTTGGACAGTTGGTGGCAAGTCTTCAATATCTGAAAAAGGAACAATTAATAAAATGTCTTAACACACATTTAAAAATGGAGTACTGACATATAGAACATGTGCAGTTATTAACCAGCTGATTCTTATTGTTCTCCCTCCTTAATCAGTGTTCCCTAAAGCTGTACATTTGTACAGACACTCAGGTGCGATTCAAATGCTGCCCAAATGATTAGAACACCCACAGTTCGTTTTTTTGTTTCTACTGGTGGTGCACATTCACACAACTCGGTGCTCACAAAAAAGTATTTTGCACATGGACGGAAAAGATCAGAGGAAATATTTTCCTTAACCTCTAATTTCTCAATGAAGATGCATTATTTTTGGTTCATCTATGCATGGCCTGAAGCCCAGACTAAGCTAAGAATCCTGATACTAGCTAATCATGACCTTCCAAGCAACAATGGCCCCTAAACCAAAGGACATCTGGACACCTGTAGGATTATAAATTATCTGCTCCAAAATCAGTGAAGTAGGGAACCAGATAAGAAAGCAAGAAATAAGATGAGAATAAAAGAATTTTTCCATTTCAGTATTGTGACAACCTTGATCTAGCCCAGATGGTAAATGTAAAGTCATTTTGGTCTAATGCAATAGACACCAAGTTCAACATATTCAGTTACCTGGCTGCATAACCTTTAGGAAGAGCCCATAGCCTTTAGTAAGGCCTACAACAAAACCTATTTAATCTGTGATAAGACAAATGGCTGTTTTGTGGGGCAAGTTTTCTTATATTCTACATAGCCACCAATCTCCTAATGCAAGCATGCCCAAGGCCAGTTTATCAGTATATTACATTTCCTTTTTCCCTAATCCATCTAATCTGTAATATAATATCATGCAATACAGGATTTTACTGAAAATTTGTGAGAAAAAGCTCAAGTGAAACATTTTTATGACAGCTATTAATAATGCTGGATATGTTGTACATAGATTTACCACCTGATGCTTTCTGTACTATGTAAATTACAAAAACTTCACCTAATTCAAGTAGGCTGAAAATTCTATGATCAAATATTCAATCAAGAGAACTTAATCAAAAGATTAAGGCATGCTCATCTCTAAATACTTACACAAATATTCAGTGTCAAACAGCAAATGTTCTTATTGATCACATGCCATTTCAAAATAAACTGAAGATAACTAACATGAATATTTCCAGGTAAGACAAAAATGCAGCATACATATGAATAGTAGAATATTCCCAAAACTCATAATTGTGTGTCAAATCTTTTGTTTTTAAAAAGGAACATTAGAAGTACCGAATTACAAAGTGAGGCAAAATCTAGCCATCTGAGCTAAAAACTAAGAACCATGTATACTTGATCTTTAATCTCAATTTTAATACAGACTTGTTTTAGAAAGACATTCTTTTACTTCAAATTTTCCCAGCTCTAAAACTGAAGACAATAGTAGTTTATTTCATGGGGAAGATATCACAACAAATACGTGAAGAGCTTATTTAAAAAGCAACTAGGAAAAGCCTAAGAATGTGCTAACAAAACCTATATCAGAAAAATTGGTAGAGGTAAGGCAGGGGGAGTGACAGAGTTTGTTGACTGCTATTTTATATATGTATGAAACTAAGGAAACACTTACACAATGAGGATTATTTCATAATTACCTGCAGGTAATGTAAATGTTACAAGATCAGTTAAAAAATAGCAAGCAAAATCTCCCTTTCGTTGATGAAGAGATGCAGCAATTTCACGCCGGATTTGTTCTGTAAGCTCTGGACACACCATTGCTGGAATGCACTTTGCTGCATGTTGTGAAACCTATAATATTAATAGACTTATTTCACCAAAAACAGTAAAATGAGTTAGGCATCAGATAACATTTCATAAATAACGTTATGAGAAAAAGAGGGAAACAATAGGTCTTAGAAAGAAGGAATATGGAACGAACACAATTCTGAGGGAAAAAGTGATCCCATCAAGATACATGCAAGAATATAAATATAAATCTATTCAAAGACATTACAATTAAGTCAACAGCTACAATGTGTTTACTCAATAGGAAACTAATAGGAACTGAAATGACCACCACAAAACAAACTTCAATCCAACAAAAATGAAATTGAACAGATGGCTGATGGGGTTAAACAGAAGGAAACAAAATGACCATCCAAACAGGAACTATTAAGACCACATGATGACAGTATGAAAAAGCCTGATGTTATGGATGGGCACTGATTACAATGTAGCATCCTCAAGTAAATTTCTTCTCTTCCATATGGTACACAGGATTCTGTACCTCAAATTAATTATGTTTGTATGAGAAAGTTTTCCATTCCTCATCTCCTATTTGCCATAACTCTATTAAGTGGGGAAAGGACCCCTATATGTGGACCACACATGTTCTGAAGAATGCTGGACTTTGATGGCAGAGGAAAAAAAGTCACAGTGATAAAAGTCAAACATTAACCTCAGGTATACATCCGGACTACACAATGGAAACTTTAAAATGGCATTTGGAAGACATGCATTTTAAAGGATCATTATCTCAACAAAGCTAAGGGCCAGTATTACTATTATTTGATAGGGTTGAGTACACATTTTCATAACTCTTGCAGGTAAAATTGCTGTTGATAAATCAAAAGTACAGAATTTACGGTGAAGCTAACTTTGTTTTTAAATCTGTCCAAATCAATTACATGTGTGTCCCTCATCACTTAAATGTTTTGTGTACTCATTATACTGAAATTCACAGTTCAAACCACCTGAAAATTTTCCACTAACCTTGTCTTCTGCTATTTTGCTCTCCACTCCCAAACTTTGGATGCATTTTTATGTGCATCTCATCCCCCTTTTCCCACAGACTAGCTTCCTCGGGAAAGCTAAGGCCCCTGTAGTAATAGCAGTATTTTCCATTAGATTTGCCTTAAAAAAAGTGTCATGGATTTCTGATTCAGCTTTGAGCAGGAAGTGAACTGACGCTCTGTTGAGTAATTCTTCCCTGATAGGAGGCAATTTTGAAAGTACGTGAGGGTGCATCTCTTAGCAATGCCTCTAATGGGCACTTTACGTATCACCTGACATGTGTTCTAGACCTGGTTCAGGCCTAATTTTTAGATCAAACTTGGATCCAAGACTGAGCTGACCCCTCCCAAACTGGAGCAAGTTGTTCTCCAACCCAACCTGAGTCAGCCACAACACTTTTTCCCTTTGCATGTGAAGTCACTTCTCTTCCTATTTGTGGAGTTTGCACAGAAGTAGCTGAATGCCTGCTCCACCATCCACCACCCCAAGCTGAGCTGTGTGCACTCTAGAGCAAGTCCTACTGTAACTCCTCAGCATACTCAGATACAACAATTTAATTTTCCCTAAATGGTTTGCTCTAAAGGTATTTCCTCTCCCCAGCCAAAAGCATACGATCAGGCAGCAAAGTAGCTTACTTCCAAGGCAACAAGGTCAGGAAGTATGACCAGACTGCTTATATCTTACAAGAAACTTGTAAGATAGTCTCACTATCTTATCTACCTATTCACAAGTTGAGACAACTACTGCTGAAAAATCCAACAGAAGAGAGTCACAAAGAAGCTACTTGTGCATTTGTCTCTTCTCTCCATCAGCTAGCAAAGAAAGCTGCACTCCAAAGACTGCAAACTATAGTATGGTTTTGTAAAGTCTTTATTTAATCTAAACAAGGCCCAAAGCACCTCACCTCTGTAAGCAAAATTGCTAGCATATTCTGTCTTTGAAAACGTATAGCCAGATGTACAAGCGTGTATCCCACATCAAAAGCAGAAGGGCGATTTAGCAGTCGTACTTCATCTGATGTAAGTTGGCGTGCAATATCTCCTCCTGATGACTTGTATGCTTCAACAGCAGCTAAATCACCTTCTACAACTCCTGAAGACACAAAAAGCATATTAATTTCATTTTAGAGAATAAAGATATAATTCTGGATCAAAATACCTTATTTCACAGTGTTTTTCTATGCCTGTTGGACTCCAATCTTTGGGAACAAGAGCAAAATTGCACGCACAGCTATTTTTATTTACATATTTTGCAGTCTTGAACCTACCTTACCTCCAAAACAAGTTCCATACTCCAGTAGGCATATGCTAAGACACCAAGTCAGAGTAGGAGCCAGTGAGCTAAGTAAGGCTGGGTGTTGTATGCAGTCCAATGAAACACTTGATTTAAATTCAGCACATGCCATTTTCTGACTATGGATGATGAAAGTGTCCACTTAGCACAAATTTCTAGTATGACAATTTTGCCTGCAGTTTATCTTAAAGCCTGTCAAAAATCAAAATATGTACTCTGTGTGTGCAGACATTTGCTCTGACAAATCCCTTCAAACAAATTTTAAAATCTTGCCATTTATCACAGAAAAGTCTTGAACAAAGAAAATGTAATGTGAAATTGACATTCCATTCTAATATACAAGTTAGAAGGTCAATTTCATATTAAAATTATTCTTCTATTACGTAGGTCATACATAATACTGAGATTCCCTGATCAACTGCCACATCTGTGTGAAAATATCAGTCTTGTGTTAATGCGTAGAGATGCACCTCTAAAATCTGGGATTCTCTGGGCCAGTAACATCCATGGTCTGGCATGACCATGGATGTTCCAGGACCAGAGTGTCCTGGTGCAATGCAGGAGTATGGGGGCCCTAGAGCAGGCATGTAGCTTAGTTGGGCTGAGGGGGGAGGGGGCTGGGAGCCAGCACACAGCTCATCTGGGCTACAAGGGATGGAAGCAGGGAGCCAGCGTATGGCTCAGCTGAACTGGGGAGGGGCCGGGAGCTAGCACATAGCTCAGCTGGGGAGGGGAGCTAGGAAGCCCAGTTGTGGGGAGGGGAAGCAGGAAGGGGGCTATCAGCAGAGGACCTAAAATAAATATTTTTCCAAACCAGGAGAGGTTATCCGGGGCCAGTCAGGCCCAGGGAGGTCCAATCTGTACCACCTTTCTAGCCAACAATATTACCTTTTTAGAAAGGCAGCACTTGTCAGCAACCAAGATTAAAAGAAACAAATTTGTTTATTTCTACGTATACCCAGGGATAGCTGAACTACATGCAGCTCTTTTACAGTTAAAGTGCAATTTATAGACCCCCTCCCACTCTACCCATCTACCTACCATGGAAGTGGAACTTGGGGCTGCTGCCCTGCAATAAGGGGTGAAGGAGTTGGGAACTTCTGCTAAAAGCAACTAGTGTTGTTGAGGAGGGAGGGGACAATTTAAAGGTGCAGGACTATCCCCCACCCACAACAGCTTAAGTCACATCTCTCCTCTTTACCCTCAGCAGTCCCTACCTTCTAGCTCCACATGAAGTGATAGTGGAAAACAGCTAGGAGCTGCATGAAGGAACTGCTGTTTTAAGTTCTGACAGGCATATCACAGAGGACTGAAGTTCTGAGCCCTGGCAAGCACATTCTGGCATTCAAGCTTCTGAACAAGGTCATATGTGGCTCAGAGGGTCAGTAAGTTTGGCCACCCTGTTGTATACCATACTTAATGTTTTCTAATAGCCCAAGTTTTACTCTAAGAGTATGAGCTGCATGAAGGAACTGCTGTTTTAAGTTCTGACAGGCATATCACAGAGGACTGAAGTTCTGAGCCCTGGCAAGCACATTCTGGCATTCAAGCTTCTGAACAAGGTCATATGTGGCTCAGAGGGTCAGTAAGTTTGGCCACCCTGTTGTATACCATACTTAATGTTTTCTAATAGCCCAAGTTTTACTCTAAGAGTATGATTTCCTTCCTCCCCCTCTGCCCCCCCCCCCCCCGTCAAGGCATTGCTAACTAGAAGCTAAGCATATATTTTCCTCCTCTTTGGTTTCAGAATAATTGGAATGAAGCAACTAGGAGTCATCTCCAATATATGCTCAAGTTTATACATTCATACCACCACATTCTTTGTGTTATTAAATGTCACACACTATAAGACTGGCATTTGCCTTTTAAGAATATTCTACATATACACCAGTGTTTCTCAAAGTGGCTTGTGGACCCACTCTGAGAACATTGCATCCCGATAGCAGCTATGTTCTCAGAGTGGGTCCATGGACCAATTTAAGATACACTGATATACACCAATACTTTCCCCTTCTCTCCCCCTCCCCCCCCTTTAAGATAATTCCTTCTGTATGTGAGTCTGGGAGTGGAAACTCATATGCCAGTTCTGTAGAACTACGATTAAGAGCAAGGGCATAAATAACCACAGCTAGTGGCTCCAAGAGCCTTTGGTTTGTTCAGTCTTGAAACATTGCCCCACCCCACTGGCCCATGTGGTCCCTGCTATGTCTGCTCTAGAATTGCATTTATTTCTTTTTCATCTGCCAGAAACTTCCAAGACCCCTACACTTGGGGACAGGCAGCAACTGCTAAGTCTTACTCTATTACAAGTTAACCGATAACTCCATCCACCTCAGTGGTGAAAGGAATATAGAAATATTTCTTTGCTTCTGAGGATGCAAGGAGATGCTAGCTGCTCCAGCACCTCAGAACCTACCTTCATTAGTACTCACACTCCCTAACAGATTTCAAAACATAGTGATTCCCCACAACCAAATGCTGTTAAAAAAAGGATTCAGAACACTAGATTCAAGAGGGACACTAAAGTTCAGGCAGTTTTGCCACTAGCTCTTTTATTCAACTACAGTCAGTGAATTGTGTCTGATTTTCTTAAACTAAAAATTTAAAATAAGGAATTTTTGGCAAGTTTGAACGCAGCCGAATATTTTAGTGAGAAGAATGGGCTGGTTTCAAAGTGCATAGTTGAGCATTTCACTCAGTCTGATAGTTTCACCACAGTGTTTTTGGCTTTTGGGTTTTTTGTTCTTTTTTAAAGTTTAAACCATGTCTGTTTAGTTTTCACAGAAAATAATCACTGAAAACTCAGACTTGGAGATAATGGGAAGCAAGCAGAAGCAGCACTTTCACGGTTTCGGAAATGTCTGTACCATAAAAATCTGTCCACCTAAGCTTAGTCGGCATACAACCACTGTAGTAATTATGTCACTTTGTGTGTCCTCACTACAGTAGACTTCCGATAATCTGGCACCTTTGGGACCTAGGTGGTGCCGGATTATCGGATATGCTGGAGTATCGGGAGGTACTTCGGAGGTGGGCTGTGACAGGTCTGCCGGGACCCGCACTTCGTCCGGGGGCTGGGCAGGGAACGGCAGAGCAAGGGGCGAACCCTCCGCTGTTTTGCAGGAAGGTGGGGGAATCCCCGTGCAGCTGCCAGCGACAGGCCAGCTGGGGAAACCCAGCCACTAGCTTGCAAGCGGCAGCGGAGGAGAGAGCTAAGTCACCGAACTTGCCCCATTCCAGCTGCACTCAGCTCTGCGCCGCCACCGAGAGTTTCCGGGAAGGGAGCAGGCTCCCCAACCCCCAGACTGCAGTAGTTATCGCCGAGCAGAGGGGTGAGGGGCAGCGCTGCGGGACCAATCCGGCAGTACCCCAGCTGCTCTGCTCCACCACTTCCGCAAGTCCACCGCTGCCGCTGCTGAAACTGACGAGCAGCAGACTTGGGAAAGCAGGCATAAAGTTAAAGGCACCTAGGGGAGAAGTGGCATGGCTAGAAAAAGAACCCAGGAATCCTGCTTTCCAGAATCCCTTCCTTTCCCCTGTCCACTCCACCAAGCAACAGCTCCCACAGTCCTCAGAGCAGAGACTGAAACCCCCAAATCTGCCCCACGCCCAGCTGACAGGAAAGGAAAGAAGCCAGAAGTTCTAGTACCCAGCTCCCTGCTCTAACCCAAAGCCCCTGCCCTCCCCCAGAACCAGCAACCCCCCCCCAGCTCTCCCGCCCCAACCCAGTGCACCCACCCCTCCCTCAGAGCCAGGCACCCCAACCCCCTGCTCTAAGCCAATGCCCTGCCCTCACTCAGAACGAGCCACCCCGCCAACCCCCCAACTCTAACCCAGTGCTCTTCCCCACCCCCGGAGCTAGGGGCATATCCTCCTGCTTCTAGGTTAACGCGGCCAACTCCCCCATCAGACTTGCCCTGGGTCTCACTGGAGCCGCTGCCACCACTTGTTTTTCCCCATCAGGTGCGTGTGCAGAGCAGCTGTTAGTGTCTGAGTACATGGCTCTGAACATTCAATTTGACCTTCACAAATCCTGCGCCTCCTCACTGATCCCCTTTGCAGGGCAAAATCCCAGACATTTTTTGCCATTTAAAAAAGCCAGCCAGGCAAAGATTTAACAAGCGAAAATGAGGACATGTTCAGGAAAAACCAGATGTATGGTAACCCTACTGCAGACATCCCCCAGCATCTTTTTCAACAATCAACATAACACTGAAAATTGTGTCCACAGCCAATTAGCCAGTACATTGTAACCTTAACACTTGGCCTACAAACACTGGTTTTGTATCAATTTAACTATTTTGGTCTGAGATGAAGTGGGTTTTTAACAAAAATAATTAAAATGTATACATCTTCTAGTGTCAACAGCTGTGTATACAAAGGTATCCAATATCAACACATTTTCCTAAACCTATGGAAAGAAGTCTCAGAGGGGTAGTCACGGGAGTCTGTAACTGTAAAAAACATGGAGTCCTGTTTCACCTTAGAAACTAAGATTTATTAGGCCATGAGCTTTCGTGGTTAAAACCCACTTGATCAGGTGAGTTGGAGTGGAAATTACAAAATCCAGGGGGTATGTGTCTATAACACAGCAAAAACTTTGTCACTATAGGACCAGTGTTAATGAGACTAATTAAGTTAGGGTAGGTGTCTCACATTCGCAGCATTTGATGTGGAGATGTGAATAATGAAAATTGCTCTGGTAGTGCATTTACCAGTTAAATTTTTTATTCAAGCCTAAGTTGATAGTGTTGAATCTGTAAATGAACTCCAGTTCTACTGTCTCCTCTGTATACAGG